ATACCCAAGGGAAGCCCCCCACTGGCCCGCCAGTCACTGGAGACGAGGCAGGGCTTGGTGCAGAGTTTACACAGTCAGAGGTTTTCGATGAGCTTTGTCCGGGATGTCCAATGTGCAATGTAGAGATCCCGAGGCGGACGTCAGCAGCCGGGGCATTTACAGAATGCCCTGAGTGTAATTTTCTACACCTGGAGCGCTACGGGACATTCGAGGAATACACCGCTGCAAATATGATGTTGAGAAATGTCAACCATCCAGAAGTCGAGCCGTACATCCCAAGGTTTGTTGAAACGCCACAGTTCTGGACAGGGGAGCAGCCCCGACACGTACAAAGGATTCCTGCAATAGAACTTGAAAGAATGAGCAGAGTCAGAAAGCAAGAATTTGAATTTTACGAGGAAATCCGAGGAAAATCCGTCAACATCTTGGAAGGTTTGGAATTACATACAGGAGTTTTCTCAGAAAGAGATGAAAGAAGGATTCTAGACTGCGTGTTTGACTTGCGAGACAGAGGTCGCGCCGGATTATTGATGGAGAAGACGTACTCAGAGCCGCAGAAATGGATGAGGGGCAAAGGACGAATTACTATTCAATGCGGTTGCTGCTACAACTTCACGAGGGATAGGCTGGGGAATCCCCAGGGTATCTTAAGATACGACGAGTTGGACCCTCTGCCTTTCGAGATAAAAAGAATGATCAAAAGAATGGTAAGGTGGAGCATACTGCCTGCGGATTGCATCCCAAATAGCTGTATTATTAACATCTATGAGGGAGACTGCATTCCGCCCCACATAGATCACCACGACTTTGTCAGACCCTTCTGTACGGTGTCCTTCATGAGCAAGAGCAACATTCTATTCGGAAGAGAAATTGACGTTCTGGGACCTGGAGAGTTCAGAGGATCGGTCGAGATTCCGCTGCCAGTGGGTTCAGTTCTGATTTTGAAAGGAAATGGAGCAGACTTGGCGAAACATTGCATCCCGGGAGTGCCGCACCGCAGGATTTCTGTTACTCTAAGAAGGATGGACGATAGCAAGGTGCCACACGGGTTTCGGCCAGATGTGGAATTGGAAGAATTACGCCCGTACTAGTTGTGAGATGGCTGTACCTCTAAGTATACGCGAAAGGACTCTTACCCCGAAGCGTGGCTTAGAAGGTTAGCTTGATCACGAGCTGACATCGAAAGATGGACAGATACTTTCGAATTTCAACGTGTTTGTTGAGTTGCCTTTCTGTGCGTACGATGAAAAGCCGCATGACCACACAGTGGTTTTAGCTTATAACGAACAAAGAACAACATGAAGAAAATTTAATTATATAAGTTAAATCCAGAACTAGAGTATATTATGATAATAAAATCTATAAAATAAAAAAAAAGTGATAACTAAATTTTTCACGTTTCCCTCACGTCCCACATCTTCACTTCACAAAATCTTTCACGTTTTCCTCACGTACCACATCTTCACTTCACAAAATCTTTCACGTTTTCCTCACGT